CTTATAATATTGAGAAAAAATTCTTTTTTTTAACCATTAATGTTTTATAGTTTAATATAAGGTAAAATATAAAATATAAAATTATTTATTATATTATACATGTGATTATAATAACTTATAGTAAAATGGAAAGAAAGAAATCATGTATTTAGTTTGGGCTGAGAATATTGTCATTAAAAATTTTGTTAAGGTCTAAATCTTAATTATAATTTTATTAATTTAATTTTTTATAGTTATTTATAAAATAATTTTAATATATTAAATAATAAATATTATTTATTATTTATTTTTAATAATTAAATTAAAATAAAAATTCAACCATTTTAATTTCTCAATAAATTTAATAATAACTTTAAGCATACCAGTTAGATTGTCATTTTAACAAAGTTGAATTCCCATTTCCCACCCATAAAAGTTTGTCCTTCCCCACTTGATGTGATGCCCTGCCAAAATGATCTCTAATTTGTAAATTCTTGGTGGAGAATGAAGGAGGGGGGGCCATTATACCAATGACCCCATTTCAAGATATTTGTCTAGAAATTGTTAAACGAACAAAAATATCTCCCTAACCGATGTGATCGTTAAACTAATGAGTAATAACATCAAGAGGCAAGAAATGGGAGATCCCCAATGAGCCACAAGCACCCGTTAACATACCGATTCACCAAATGTTCGATCTTGCTATTCCTAATTCACCAGATTTAAAGGCTTGAAGCATGTAATTGTATCGAACTAGAAGTCCTTTTTTAGTTCGTGTCTTCACTTCGGATGAACCTGCAAAGCCCCGAAGTGGGTCCTCGGGCTAGACACTCCAATACTTAAGTCAGCAATAATCAAATTTACCTTTAGAATAATGGAAAAAAGGGAGCTGTAGGTCAGTTTCAATTACCTTTCTGATGTGACCCCTGAGAGGTATTTATAGGCCTTAGTAAGGTGTCCATGTGGTTTACTTAACAAGATAATCGAAGTGTGATGTGTCTTTTCAGGCAATAATTTCAAGACCAGGAAATTATGTGGTAAATTCGGTGTGAGCGTGTCCACTGTATTTATCATGCAACCATTTGACCAAGAAGTGTTGGATTTAACTTCACCTCGGTTATTAAGGGCTTGCATCAGTACGTCCGAGGTTAGGGACCTCGGACATATCCTTACACTATTCCCCCCTCGAAGTCATTCACTTGTGAATGATATTATGTAAGGTGATAGTAGTAGTGTATAATCAGGTGGAAAGAGAAATAACAGAATATTATAGTTGAGTTATTAGAGTCACAGTTATAAATTAAAGTTGGTAACTCAAATATATGTATGTTCATAACTAAAGTAAAATATGTGGCACGGGGTTACCATGACTGAAGCCGAAGTAACATATGTGACACAGGGTTACGATGGCTAGAGTCGAGGTAAAATATGTGACACATAGTCACTATGCCGGAGCCGAAGTAAGATATGTGACACGTAGTCACTATAGTCGAAGTCGAAGCAACAAGCGATGACCGTAGTCAGTGCGGCCGGAGCTGAGGAAACAAGTGATGACCAGAGTCATTGAGGCCGTAGCCGAGGTAACAAGAGATGACCGAAGTCAGTGCGACCGGAGTTGAGGAAACAAGTGACGACCAGAGGCATTGAGGCCGTAGCCGAGGTAACAAGAGATGACCGAAGTCATTGCGGCTGTAGCCGAGGTAACAAGTGATTACCATAGTCATTACAGTCATAGCCGAGGTAACAGGTGATGACCATAGTCATTGCAGCCGGAGCCGAGGTGAAACACTTGTAAAGTTGAAAATTTTTATTATGAAAGGATACAGAAGTACCGAACTGGGCTTAGTGAGGCCGATTAAAAAAGTCTGACGTAGAGTTAGTGCGTGGCGTGATAGCTGTCTGTCGAAAGATGTGCATAATAAATATGGGTTGTAAAAAAATAACTGCTACAGTTAAGCAGACAGGATGAAAAACGAACCGTCGAATTCGAAAGATTTCCATTAGTGATTAATTGTCGAATTCGAAACAGTGTAACCGTGACCGTCAGATGAAATTAATCAGAGCCATTGAGGCGTATATTTCCTTTGGTATATATAGCTATACTTTGTAAAAAGAGTTTTACTTTCTCCGTGTTTGCTACCGAAGTGCTGCCAAAATCGTTACAATATTTGTGTGAGTGACTTGTGTGACATATTTTTTACTTGAAAACTCGTTCTGCACTATCGAAATCAGGTCACTTATGAACTTTTGTGATTCAAGTTCTAGTGGTGAATTTTATTCTCCTCTCACCCTTTTTGATTTAGATTTAAGTCCTCTTAAAGAGGTTAAGGTTAGGAGTGAGAGTGATATTGAGTGTGAGTTAGAGTTTTTTGAAAATCCTGACTACATCCCTCCCCCTACTCTGTGCAGTTAAAGTTACGAGATTGAGGATATGTCTTCTAAGGAAACATTAAGCATTGGGGGGAGTGAGGAAGTAAGGATGTTGGAGTACAGTGATGTAAGTGTTAAGGGTGTGTTGTCTGGGTCTGAGCGTACAGAGGGAGGGGTAGGTAAGAATGAAGTTGTTGAGGTTGGGGTAGAAGAGGTGCCTGCTAATATATTGGAAGTGGGAGATAGGAGTGATAAGTTTTACGATAGCGGGGTAAACATTGTGTCTGAGGTAAAAGGATATGAGTCTGAGCTCAGAAGTAGGGATAGCCTGAGTTATCTCATAGAGACCTATGAGATCTCTTCTAGAATGTTAATTAGGCCTACTGGAGTGAAAGAAAGGGCATGCTCTGCACCCCAAGATCACTAGATGCCAGTGTATGCCCATTATTTGGCAGCGGGGCTTAGGTATCCTTTGCCTGATTTGTTGGTGTAGCTATTATTGGAGTATAGTGTAGGTTTGACCCAATTATCTCTTAATGCAGTGAGAGTGATAATTGGGTTTATAGTATATTACCAGGCTAGGGGGGTTAGGGTGCCCACAGTAAATATGTTTAAGCACTTTTTTGTGCTAAAGGTTAGGAGTAGGAAGGAGAAAGGGTGGTACTACTTTACACTTTGGTTGTCCAACAAAGAGAAGAGAAACCTATTTAGTGCAAGACCTTCCTCCATTAAGGGGTGGAAGAAAAAAATTTTCTTTGTTGATGACACTAAGTAAGAGTGGGGAGATGGGGAAGTAGAGTTTTTGTCTTCCTAGAAGGCTAAAAAGGCCAACCAGAATAAGTATAGTTTAAATAGTGATGAGGAGGAAGAAGTAGAGAAGCTGGTGAACGAGGAAGGTGACATAATAGATATTATGTTTCTCACCAGCTCGGATGTTATAGAAGCAGCTGAGCTTTATGGGTCGAGCTCAATGAGCGAAGGTGTGTTGGTATCTTGTGTGATGTGTGTAAGAGTTTAGTTCGGATTTGTGGATTTTAACGGAATTGTTGTTTTGCAGTTGAAATGGACAAATTTCTTGGTGCTACTGGTAGGGTGGCTATTCCCAAGAAGCCAAGGAAGAAGTCCAGACTTTGGAGAAGGTTGCAAGTGGGAAGGGAGATAGGAACACGAAAAAAGGGTAGATGTCAAGTACAAAAGCCCGAGCTGCAGAGGAGGTGGAGCTGAGGTCCAAAAGGAAGAGGGATGAAATGGATCAAGCTCAGAAGAAAAAGAGGAGAGTGGAGGACGAGGTTAGGGGGGACAAGGTAGTGGAATTCGTACCTCGACCTGCGCCTGTTGAGCTTGGTCCGAACCTCAGAGAGAACGAGGTCCTTACCCCTAACAAGGGTAAAGCATTTGTTCCCACACCTTCTCTCCAAAGCAGCATTTTTGGGAACAAAAACTTCACCGTGGCGAAGAGTTTCATGAACGCTTATGCTCCTGAGATGGATCGTCGTAAAGCGAGGGAGGAAGCCTTGGTACATGAAGGGACCTCAGTTGTGAGGCATTCTCTGGAAGTAAGTTTAGTGATTATAACTGTTGTATGCTGTGTTTGTTTTTTTTTTTTTTAATTGATTTGTGCTGATGTGGCAGACTGCAACTTGGGTTAATGCGCTAGCCCAAGAATTCATGGAGCTGGTGAAGGAGCGCAACAGTTTGCAGAAGGAAAGGGATGAGCTGTTGAAGAAGAACGGGAAAATGAAGAGGGAACTGGATATCATGGTACCAATAGTGACAAGCTTACAAGAGGAGGGAGACACATTGAAGACGATTCTCTCATTCGTAGAGAAGAAAAGGAGAATGTGCAAAGAAGAGAATGAAGCACAAAAGGAGGAAATAAGAAAGATGAGAGAATCCGAGGTGGAACTCAAAAAGAATATCCAATTGCTGGTCCACAACGGGATGGAGGAGCATATCAGCAACTTTATCAACTCTAGCTCGTTTGACAACATCGTCAATCTCTACCGGCTGTTGATTGCAATCCTCACCTTCACTAATTGTAGAAAGAAGGTTAAAATTGAGTATCCCGAAGTGGATATTACCAAGATCACCTTCGGCGAACAAAAGGAAGGGGTGGAAGAGAACGACGAAAGCATGTCAGTAGATTTTCAACCTCAGGATAAGCTGAGGTGGGATCATGATGAAGAAGGACGTGCCGTTTTTCCTCCTAACTTCGACTTCAAGTTCATAGCAGTGGAGGAAGGAGAAGGAGAAGCAAAAGGGGTTGAAGTTGAGGAAAGTCAACCATCTCCTCCCATGGAGGTGCATCTAATTCCCTCTAAAGAAGAGCAGCCACCTCTTCCATCAGAGCAGGAGCCACCCCAACCACCTCCTCCAGCGAAATAGTTTAGGGATTTTTTATTTTTTTGATTTATGTATTTAGGATTTGAACAATGATTAGTGTGCACATTTTTTGATTAATTTAAGGAAAAAATTTTTAAATTAGTTTGGTTATTTATTTTGTGCTTTTAATTATTTTGTATTAATGTAAAGATTTAGATAAGGTAAATCACTTCAAATATGAACTAAGAAGAAGTAAATAAGTTCAAATATGAGCTGAGAAAAAGAAATCACTTCAGATGTGAAGTGAAATTCATTAATAAAAGTGCAGTCCAAGGAATAGATTCCAAACAAGTTGACCTCAGATATACAGGATAACAGATGAAATGAATCCCAGAAATGAAGAAGTAATAATTATAAAGAAAAATAAGACGAAGATCACTTGAAAGAAATTTATTAAGGGTAAAATTTCTTCAAGTTATTGACATTCCAGACTCTAGGAATTCGCTTCCCTTTAGCATCTTGGAGGATATAGGCACTAGGATGTGGCACTTTGGCTGCTATGTAAAGGCCTTCCTAGTTTGGGGCCAGTCTGCCAAAACGAGTTTCAAACCCGCTAGCCTTTCTGAGAACAAGGTCTCCTACTTTGAATGTTCGAAGGCGGACTCGTTTGTTGTAGAAGTTGGCTAATTTATGCTTGTATACTAGAGTTCGAAGTCGTACTTCTTCTCTGACTTTAGCAAGCAAATCAAGGTTTTCTCGAAGCAATTATCCATTTCGTCCTTCATCGAAATGGGTTACCCTGAAACTTGGGACTCCTATTTCAATAGAAATGACTACTTTGGTACCAAAGGCCATATGGTAGGGTGTTTCACCTATTTCATTAAGTTAAAATTTTTAGTATATGCTTTATGTGTTATGCATATTTGTTCTAGGGTAAAGCGGCAAGTGAGGAGGTAAATTAGAAAGAAAGTAACTTGGGTTGGAAATGGTACCTGTGGCAGTTCGGCTCGTTGTTCTATATGCCCATAGGACGTTGTTGAGCTCGTCTGCCCACCTAGCCTTGTGTTGCTCCAACCTCGGCTTTATTCCCTCCAAGATAGTTTATTGACAGATTCGACCATACCATTGGATTCTGGATGGTATATGGAGGTAAATTGTGGTTTGATTCCATAACTGGAGTAGAATTCTCTAAATGAACAGCAGTTAAACTGAGTACCGTTATCAGCTATGATTTGATTTGGGATTCCATATATGTAGATGATTGAGCCGAAAACAAAGTTTTCAACCTTTCTGGAAGTAAGACTGGATAATGGCCTAGCTTCGACCCATTTTGTAAAATAGTCAACACCGACGATCAAATGGGTTACACCACCGAACCCTTTCACGAATGGGCCTAAAAGATCAAGCCCCCATTGAGCAAATGGCCAAGGTGCTACTGGGTTGGTGAGCTCTTCTGCCAGTTGATGAGTTAAATGTGCAAAGAATTAGCACTTCGGGCATCTCTGTACAAAGTGAGTAGCATCCTTATACATATTCGGCCAATAATATCCTTGTTTGAGGACTTTGTGGGTAAGGGTTCTAGCATCGATGTGGCTTCCACAGACACCTTCATGCACCTCCCGAAGTGCGTACTCAGCTTCATAAGGATTTAAGCATCGTAGGAGAGGGAGTGAGAAAGATCTCTTATAGAAGACCCCATCGACGAGTGTATATCGAGACGCTTTCTTCCTCAACCTCATTGCCTCTTGCTTATCTTCAAGCATTGGCCCATCTTGTAAAAAGGAGATAATTGGATTTGTCTAGCTCAGTGTATCCGCGTCTATGCTGATTTCCATCATTCGTGGCTTCATGAAGCTTGGTTCATCTAAAACTTCGACGAAAACTGATCTGGAGCTTAAAGAGCTATCAGAGGTGAACTTAGAAAGTGAATCTACCTGTTCATTCTCAGTTCTGGGGATTTTGCTCAAACAAAAGTTTTGGAACCTACACTTCAGCTCGGCCACTAGGGCTACATACTTCGCCATGATAGGATCAACAACCTCACAAATTGAGTTGACTTGATTGACCACAAGTTGGGAGTCACTGTAGAATCTTATGGCCGCAACTTTCAATTCCAATGCTAGTTGTAGGCCAAGTAGTAAAGCTTCATACTTTTCCATGTTATTAGTGGCATCAAAGTTAAAATTTAAAGCATGCTCACTTCGATATCCATTTGGACCTACCAGGAAAGCACCAGCTCCTGAACCCTTACTATTTGATGCTCCATCGACATATAAGATCCAGTTGCTCAACTCAGGGTTAGAGTTTAAATGACATGGGTGCATTCCACAATAAAGTATACCAGTGCTTGAGCTCGGATTGCAGACCTCTACTGGAATGTTATCTTGAATTCCCCTAGTTCTACTGCCCACTTAATTAACCTTCCAGAGCACTCTGGCTTTTGAAGGATCTATCGAAGAGGTTGGTCTGTGAGGATTATGATCAGATGTGACTGGAAATACGGTCTCAATTTTTTGGCCAAACTAACAACTGCCAATGCTGCTTTTTCAACAATAGGGTACCCAGTTCTACTCCATACAACACGCTGCTGGTATAATATATTGGTTTCTGTTGTTTGCCTTCTTCTCTCACCAGCACTGAACTGATTGCTTCATCAGAAATACCGAGGTACAAATAGAGAATTTCTTCATTTATAGCCTTTGTCAGCAGAGATGGTGAGCTAAGATAAGATTTCAACTCATCAAATGCAGCTTGGCACTCTTGGTTCCATTCACACTCTTGGTTCCATTCAAACTTCTTCTGTTCGCCAGATTCATCCTTCTGAGCTAGTAATCGCATGATCTTGAAGAATGACAAGCACTTATATGTTGACTTCGAAATGAATCTATGAAGAGTTGCCACCCTTCATGTTAATCTCTATATATCTTTCACCGACTTCGGTGGTTCCATCTCAACTATTGCTTTGATCTTTTCTGAGTTAACCTAAATCCCCCTCCGAGAAACCATGAATCTCAGAAATCTCTCAGATTCTACGTCGAAGATGTACTTTGCTGGATTCAACTGCATTTAGTTCTTCTTGAGGCTATTGAATGTTTCATCAAGGTTGGCTAGGTGATCCTTTGCCTTTAAGTTCTTCACCACAATGTCATCGACATAAACTTCTAGATTCCTGCCGATCAGAGCTCGGAAGACAATGTTCACCATTTTCTGGTAGGTGGCACCTGTGTTCTTTAAGCCAAATGGCATCATGACATAACAATACATTTCGTCACTAACATAGAACGAGGTTTTCTCTTCATCCTTCGAAGCCATTAGCACTTGGTGGTAACCAGAATATGCATCCAAGAGACTTAATCTCTCATTTCCAGAAGCTGCTTCAACCAGTTTGTCAATGCTTGGCATCGGATAGTAGTCTTTGAGACAGGCTTGGTTGAGATTTGTGTAGTCGATGCACATTCGCCATTTACCATTTGCCTTTTTGACCAACACTGGGTTAGCCACCCATTCGCAGTAATCAACTCTTTTGATGAAACCAGCTTGTAGGAGCTTCTCTACCTATTCTTTTATAACCTGAAGTCTCTCCCCCCTAAAGAGACGTCGCTTCTGGGCTATTGGTTTCTTTAATGGATTAGTGCTGAGTTTGTGTTGAGATACTGAGGTTGGGATCCCTAGCATGTCTGCTGAGGTCCAAGCGAAAACATCTTTGTTAGCTCGGAGGAAAGCTATGAGCTCTGCTCTGTCCTTTGGGTTCAATCGACTTCCAATCTGTGTCTTCTTGTTTTAATCTCTGTCATCAATTTGCACTTCCTCTACATCCTCAACTGGGGTGGCTCTAGTTTCATCCTCTGGTCGGTTGTCTACTATCTCAACCCCCATTAGCTGCTGATTATCATGAACTGGTTGGGGAATGGTTTCTGGTGTCTGATCTTCACCTTTCCAAGGCCTTGTAACCGAGATAATATAGCAATGTCTAACCACCTCCTGGTTACCTCGTAATGTTGCTATCCCCATGGGAGTTGGGAACTTCATGCGAAGGTGAGATTGAGAGACCACAGCTCGGATCTCGGTTAACGTGGGTCATCCAATAACAGCATTGAAAGAGGATGCCATTTTCACAACTAGAAACTGAATTGAAGAGGTAACATAAGTTCGACCACTCCCAAAAGCAACATTGAGAGTGAGGAGTCTTTCTACCTGAACAGGTTGGTTATTGAATCCATAGATGGGACCATCGTACCTCTATAACAAAGCTAGATCCAGCCCAAGACTCTCAAAACAGTGAAAGTACATAATGTCTGGTGTACTCCCTATGTCAACAAGGACACGTTGTACTTCACAGTTGTTAATCATAACGGAAGTGACCAGGGGATCATTATGAGGTGTGACAACTATATCGAAATTAGTAGATGTGAAAGTGATTGGTTGATTCTTCCAGTTAGCGTCGTCAAACTTTCGTTTCTAGGCTCGGTTTTGATGCTTCACCTCCCTGACATATAATTTTCTCTCCTTGGAGCTCAAACCCCCTACTTCCAATCCTTTGGTAATCATGTGTATAATTCTGGCTGGTGGCGGAAGCGGTGGTGTGGCTTGTTGATATCCCACTCCTTGTCTATTTCTTACGTTACGAGATCCCTACGGTTGTGGCCCCTGTTCTCTAAAAAACTTTAGTTGCTCAAATCTCATTCATTCAGCATTCCCTTCTGAGCTAGACTTTCTAGCCCGAACCTCAGACTATTACATTGCTCCGTTATATGACCATGATCTTGATGAAAATCACAGTATCTAGTATGATCACATGTAGCAAAGGAACTTCTCATTGGCCCTAGTCGCCTCAAGTCCATCTTGATCTACAAGAATATCTACGACCTTGGCAAATTGAAAGGGGTCCATGTAACTGGTGCTTTAGTAGTAATTTGCTGGGGTGGTATCGAGTTCGACTTTTCGAATTTCGGTGTGGAGATCATCATCGGACCTCAATTCTGCACTGTCTTCATCCATTTTCTGCTCTAACCCTCATCTCTCTAATCTGAGTTTTTGTTCTTAGGAAGAACTGGTTTCTATGATAGGGCATATTCCTCAGCAGTTATGAATTTCAACGATCTGTCATTGACTTCATTAAAAGTAGCAACAAGATGCTTGATTAAACTATCTCTGAATCTCTCGTGTTAGAGACCTTGAATTACAGCCGCAATTCCCACAGCTTGGTTGAATGAGCTGACTTCGAGGACTGCATCGTTAAACCAATTCATGTAATCCTTCATAGATTCTCCTTCCCTATATTTGACTCGCATCAGTTCAGAAATGGTTTTCCTAATCAACCTTCTATTGGAAAACTTTGTGGCGAAAGCATATGCCATTTCTGAATAAGAGCTAATAGATCTCGGGGGCAAACTATAATACTAGGTTCGAGCATTGCCACGAAGAGTGGAGGGAAAGATTTTGCACATCAATACATCAGAAGCGTTCTGAGCTTGCATACAAGAGTAGAAGGCATGGAGGTGATCATCTGGATCCTTCGTCCCATCATATGTTTCAAGCTGAAGTATCTTGAAGCCAACGGGGTAAGATTCCAATGTGATGTTAGTGTTCAAAGGATGAGGTATGGAATCTGTGATGTGGAGGTGGGGCACCTCATTGCTCAGCTACCAATTTTTCTAAGCTGTCTAGTCGTTGTGTGACATAATCAAGTATAGGGTGTGGAACTAGGGCTGCACGAGACTAAACCTAAGACTCATTGAGAGCAGGAACATGCTGAACTAGTTGAGGATCTTGCTATTGAACAGGGGGTTGTTGAGTAGGGTTGAGTAGATTGATGAAGGGATTGTTAGGATTATTTTGAGCTAGAAGCCGAACCAAAACTAACTGGAAGACACCAAACTGTTGTTGCATGGCAGCAAGCTAAGTTGTAACTACGTCTTGATTAGCAGTGGAAGTTGAGTTGTGAATGGAGTTGTGACGTTGGTTTTCATCTCTGCCTTCTACTCGATCAACGGGAAGGAATAGATTCGGGATCGGAGGTGGGAGGTGAAGTGGAAGGTTGTTGGGGGGTTGACTTTGACCTTGTCCAAGAGGTTGAGCCTGATTTCCAGCTCGAACAAATCGAGTGTTGACCATGATGAGAGAGCAACAAGAGAGGCTTTTGTTCGGATTCCCACAGACGGTGCCAATGTAATTGCACCGAACCAGAAGTCCTTCTTCAGTCCGTGTCTTCACTTCGGATGAACCTGTAAAGCCCCGAGGTGGGTCCTCACGGTTGACACTCTGATGCTTAAGTCAACAATAATCGGATCTACCTTTAGAATAATGGAAAAAAAAAGAGTTTTAGGTTGGTTTCAATTACCTTTCTTAGGTGGCCCCTGGGGCGTATTTATAGGCCTTAGTAAGGTATCCACGTGGCTTGTTTAACAAGATAATCGGAGTGTAACATGTCCTTTCAGGCAATAATTTCGGGACCGGGAAATTGTATGTGGTAAATTCGGTGTGAGCGTGTCCACTGTATTTATTATGCAACCATTCGACTAGGAAGTGTTGAATTTAACTTCACCTTGGTTATTAAGGGCTTACATCAGTACGTCTGAGGTTAGGGACCTCGAACATATCCTTACAAAGCATGAATATAAAAATAATTATATCAGCACAAAACTATTTAATTCCTCTTAATCAATTTACTAGTCATTCTTTAATTTTTACCAAGGTTGTCAATTTCATTTTGTACCGATCGATACAATTGGTACATACTGCTTTTTCAACAAAACTAAAATAGTATATATTTAAAATTAATTTTAGTCGAATTTTAACCTTTTCAATCAAATATCAATGTATCAATCGATATTTTACGTACGAGTTGGTATACCAAAATTAAACCGATACCGTTCAAATCTTAAAAAAAAAAAAAAAAAAGCAAAAAAACAAATTAGCCCTTATACTCAGTGAACTGTGGCAAATCAACCTCTAAACTAAAATCAGACACAAATCAATCCCTTGACTCATGGTAAATTTATAATCACTATCTACTTTAATTATTTACTCCTTCTGTTTAATTTTAGTATATTTAATTTTTTTTTATCTAATAAAATAAAAATGTAATAATTAATTGATAAGATTTAATATTTATTTTTAATTAATAATTAATTTAATAAATCTTCTTATTTAATATGTGTTATAATTATCTTTTTAAAATCATTGTAAAATACAAAAAAAATGTATTATATGACATCTTAAAATAAACAAGTAAATTTAAATACCATAAATTAAAAATTAAATATATTAAAATTTAATTAATATTTCATTTGTTACAAAATGTTCATCTTTTTTTATAAAAATATATATTTATAGCGATAAATTCTAAACGGTATGTAAAAAATTTTACTATCCGATATATATTGTTTTAGTAGTAAAACTAATATGTATATCGGTATTATATTGATAACATTGATTTTTACACTTGAATATTGGTCTAGAGAATATACAAATTTAGATGAAAGTTCATTGACCGGCTGATTCACAAATAATGCAACAATTATTTGAGAAAATAGCCCATCAATAAGTTTTCATATAAATTTGTGAAACGGTTTTAGGGAAATATCATTATGTGCACATAACAAAAAATGTGATAAAAATGGCTACTTCTATTGAACCAAAGCTGCCTAAATTGACCAACTAATTCAAGCTGCAAGGAGCACCACTCGAAAATACGTGTTTAGAATGGGGAAAACGTATGGCAGATGAATTAAGCAATGTGTAGTAATAGTATAGGAGGAAACAATTATGCGGATGTGGGGGGAAGAGTCAATGAGCCATTGCCAATTTTGGGAAGAAGGTCATGGGTAGGGGTGTTCATATCCGATCCAAT